CAAATCACAACTGACAGGTTGAGGATTTTAGTATTCTTTATCAGTAAAATACAATCTTAATTATGGAAGGAAGATGATTACACTGACAACATGTTGGATTCCAGTAAAATACTAGCGTAAGTCTGTGTATTGTGTGGCCACCAGTGGTAGATACCCATGTTGTCTGAACAAGCAAAGGGATATCCTAGCAAAGGGAAAAATAAAATCACCACCACCGAAGTTTTGAGTGTTGGTGTTATGGAATAACTCCTTTCACTGAATGAATTGGTATACTTGAGACTGCTGACTCATCACATTTGGAACATATAGCTTCCGTTACAGTTTTGCTGATAAAATTAGATTGAATAAAGTTTTTTTCGAAGTGAAAATATGCATGGCTTTGAGCACCGGCCAACTTGAAACCAAGCTTTGCCATAGTTGCCGAGCCCTTATTTGGTTTCTTCACTTTTCTAGGTATTTTAGCTTGTCTAGGTGCCTTGCAACCAAATAAAAACGGTAGAATGTTAAAAAGTTTTTTTTTGTTTAAGTGTCCAAAAAAATTTGAATATCGAAATCCTATGAGTGCCAAGACAATTTGAGTGCTGAGGTAATACTGAATTTTCTTGTAGACTGAACGGGTTCCACTAGCTAACGATGAATATAGAAAAACCAGCAACAATTTTTGGAGCGACGATGAATAAGCTTTTGCAACATTTAACCAACGTGGTCATTGGCACCACCAAGGGAGATTGGGGAGAAATCCCACTACTGGTCAGTAGCTTCCATTTTGAAGATCGTCAAAATCCTAATAGGAAATGTTGGGGGAATAGTATTATTTGGCAAAGTACTTCGTGTTTTCATCCCATTGTGCGTGCGAACACTTCATTCCCTACCAGACGTTTCCTGCTGGTAAAATTGCCTTCTCCCTAAAGACTTATTGTGCCATGAACATCTTTATTTTGCCACCTGTTCGAAAACTGACCAGTTTCCTTTTTACTGATGGCTACCAGCGCAGCAAAATCAATTCGAATGTATTTCAGATTCGCATGTATGAATGATTTTTGTGTTGAATGCAGCTTGGAAAAAGCATGCAGACCACAGAACCACATAAATCTTCTAATGATGCAAGTCGAATGCTTGAAATAACGAAATTCCCATCCTGACGCAAATCGAGCGCGGTCTTATAACGGTCAATTCATTGAGGATGAAAAGGTGGGTCGAATTCAATTTGGGAAGGTTCATGAAAGAAAGTACAAATTTTTGCCACAGGCAAGAAAACATGCTATCACAATAGAAGGCTGATTGAAGAACTCAGATAGATAAAAACTCAAAACGAAGAAGAAATTTGAACGTGATTTTTATTCTGAATTAATTCTTAAATTTCAGCAATTTCAAACATCAACGTTCTTATAAAATTTATTATTTGAAAAAGTGTTCGATACACAAAAAAGGGAAAATATGCTTTTCGCCGCGTTTTGTAGAATATGGACGAATAATGATGCTTGAAATATAGAGATAAGTCTTTTGTTTTGCTGAGGATTCGGAAAATTTGATGGCGACTTAAGCTTACTTACTGCATTCGAAAGGGGACTCTTTATCGAAGAAAAAACAGTGCAAACCTAATGTAGCGTGAAAATAGATTAGAAAGTGATGTGGTGTGCTAAAAGCGTTGATAAAGAAGATTGGCAGAAATGTAAATGTTTTAGACAAAGTCACTAACTTTGCGGGTGGCAAAAAGCAAATATGTCTTATAAAGACTTTTACTAAATTCTGCTTCAACATTCTCATCACTTCAACACTTTGCTTTTACACTTTCTCTACTTACTTAAACGCCTTGATTTAACTCTATCTTCCATTTATTGAGCCATCTTACTCATCGGGAGAAATTTAAACTTCGTTTGGGTGCGTTTGTAGTAATACACGAAACGTAGGCAAAGACAGACAAGGCAACGCTGTTAAACGCAGTTGTTTACACGGGAATATCACGAATATCACGATAGAGTAAACACATTATAGGTCGGAGCTAGTTCACTTAATTGATCAACAAACTCCTCACATGTTTTGTATTTTCCATTTTGTGGGCGAAGTACCGTGCATTCGTGTAATTATGACCAAATGTCGTAGTACCGTGCTCAAAGCACCTCAAACTGGAGAATTCATTAGCCTCATTTCCTATCCGTACCAATTTGAGATCGATCCCATAAATTTCGCGCGTTTACACGAGACGGGATCAATCCCGAACTGGATCGATCCCAAACTGGAACACTCTCCAAAGTAACTCTAATTAGTAATGCGATAGATTAGTACGGATAGTGGGTCGATCCCGAGCGTTCCCGTGTAAACGGCAGGCGGATTCGTACCAGTTTGGGATAGATCCCGGCCTGAATCGATCAAGACCTACCAAGTCACACGCATTTTGCGTGAGACACACGCAATTCTGCCCTTTCTCACTCTCACACGCATAAAAGCAGAATTCACACGCATTTTGCAACAAACTTATTGGTTTATATAGATTTTTCAATTTTATTCCAAATCCTAGCAAAATCCCTCTTCCCTAACAAGGCATGTTAACACGATAACAGCGACTTGATAATCAGAGGACTAGATAACAGCAAATCCTTTCAGGTTAAGTGATGTTACATTTGTTGGCAAGCCTACAAAAATAGCAGGTTGGAAATGTGAAGCATAAAATCCTTTAAGTTGCAGTTTAAATTTAGAAGATTGCAATCTGAGTTGGCAGAGAGCAGTATTTTTTTCTCGAGAATGATATTTGGGGTTGCAGTTACACTACGATGCTCCTCCGCTTGCTTGTACGCCTGCATTCCTGGTCCACAGTGCTGTGCACTTTTGCAATCATTTGCGCAGCGCAAGCGCACCAGATTAAACTGTTTCATGATTATCTACTGTTATAAATTCTTACTCAAGAAAAACTGAGTAGAATGGCGAAAAACAAAGCCCCTCAACCCCCATCCACTTCTGTGCGGTCCCTGCTAAAAAAGGCGCATCCGAAGAACTAGAGGGCGTCGTAAAAGAAAATTTTCTGGGGCTACACCCTCGGGCCCTACAATTGGTTATGTGGCAGTCAGGATTCGTTCTGGACCAAACATTTTCTCCTCCTTTTAAAAAATCTCACTCATTTTCAAAACCGAAACTTGACAGGTCTGTCGATCCCGTGTAAACAGGTTCTTTATTCTCTCTTCTGTTCTCTGTTCCTTTCTCGTTACCAGATCGCATTATTATTGACTTAATCTTATCGTTTGAACTTAATCTTATCTTGCCAATAATTCTTGCACCAGTTCTTTTAGGCTTTATCAGCTTAGCACCAAAAGTGAATTCAAGCAACTGGCAGGCGCTTTAAATTATCTATACAAATTATCAAAACGGCATGGAGTTGATAATTGCTTTTTCCAATAAACCGTTTTGACTTTTAATAGTTGATAATTGCTTTTTCCAATAACCCGCAGGGCCACCTGCAAACCTTTTGACTTTTAGAAAGCGAGGCGCAGGGTTGCCAGATGGCCTGGGGACGATTATGCCAAAAATATTTCAAAAGGATGTCAAATTTTGTCAAATTCAAATTTCGGCATGATGACATCGTGATTTAATTTTGCGCATGCGTAGGAAAAGAAATTTGTTTTGTCAATATTGGTATAATAAAACAACAAAAAATCATTTTTTAAAAATCACTTTTAATTCAAATTTTTGATTCAATACAGCACACCAGCCCCAAACAGAGCAACCGTAACTCAAATGGGAGTCGACAATTCGTCTATACATTTTATTGAGAACGTCAGATGGAAGATATTTCTTAGAATATTGAATAAGTCCAAGGGCTCGATTAGCCTTGGTTTTGACAGCATCGATATGTTTGTCCCATTTTAGTTGGCTGTATATCTGAGCACCTAAATACTTTGTATTGGTAATCGTTTCAATTTCCTGATCACCAATTGAAAGATGGCAGAGCATCAGGCTGGCCTTCGATCCTACAGTTATTTTGACCAGAACCTTTAATTATAATAAGTGACTGTGTTTTCACAACATTCAGCGAAAGTTTGCTTGCATGTAGCCAATCCTGTAGCTCCAAAAGATCTAAGTTTAGGTCGGTCTGTCGGTCATCAACGCTTTTTAAGGAGAGAGAAATTGCCATCAAAAGTGAAAAACAGAACAAAAAACAGGGGTATCTGAATGCAGCTGCAGGCTTTACCTTATGTTAGACCATTCTGCATGCACCTATGGCACAAAACGACATAGTACACCGAATTTCTGTTAATAAGATCGTGTTCTTCCACTTTCTTATTACAGTCGTGGTAGTATTGTGTCAGAACACATTACAATATGACATTTTTAACGTTATTAACAACATTGCAGCATCGGTTAAATTGCCTAAAATATTGAAGCAACTTTAAAGAATTTACTGTTCTGTACCTCAACTTCTTCTTTCATTAGCTCCTTTCATTCTTTCATTTACTTTCATCGAGTCATCCAACATCAAGCACTTTTTGTAGTCAGGGAAATTAGCATCACCATCTAGCAACCTGACTAACTTAGGTTTTTATAGTTTAAATCATAAGAGTAAAGGCCACTGATTATTTTAAGCCTTGGGAACATTCTGGCAAATGACCGAAAGTTGCGTTTTCGGAAGCATGAAAAATGCACGGTCAGCAATATTTCGAATTTCGAACTATTCAAATTTAATGATACCATCAGAAAGATCTTGCAAAACTGAGCAAAAGTTATAAAAGAGCAATCTGATCTGGCCTATAGGCAAAAAGTTTTCGCTGTTGAAACTTTTCGTTTTGTCAAACAACTTGCTGTCTCTGAAGTTTTATTATAGTACAGACGCATAGCAGTAGAACTGTGCATGTTACGATAATAGCATGAAGTTTGATACAAGTGCACAATCCGGTATGCTGAGTAAGATTAAATACACATCAAGCTTCAAAAATGCCCCCGAAAGCTATTTTTAAACTGGGGTACTGGTACCCAGTCCTCTTTTAGGCATAAGACAATAACTTTGCAAGTTTACAAAACTGAACCTTTTTTCTGGCGTTATTTGACGTGCTGAATAAAATGAGATGCACAAACAGCTTTAAAAATTCTACAAAATCAATTTTTAGACTACTGTACTTGTACCCAGTCCTAGATTGGATCTTGCACCATAAATTTGTCACTATACAAGTTATACTCGTATAACTTGTATTCGGTATTTGTATAACTCGGAATACATAAACTTCTACATGTTGTCTCCAATTAAGCCTAGGTTGTTTATCAGCAATGACATTTCCTGTTGCAATGTTCTGTCTTTCAAATATTTCAGCAGATACTTTTCATATGAGCAATGATTTTGTTTTTACGAAAATATCTTGGCTTTATACTGTCACTGTTTGATAAAAACGAAGGAAATTGAAAACTAGGACAGCCTCTATCCCAAATACGTACATTAGAAAACTGTTCAATTGCCGTCTTCTTATCAATTCCTTTCTTTTCAATTCTTTCGTCAGTTCGCGTGAGAACCCGCAAAGACATTTGTTAACGTAAAAATATTGCCACAGTCTTCCACTTCAGCTACACCAAAATTAGCAATCTTTTCATATTCCTGTTCCTGAGGTAAAAATGTGGGAGCATTTTGACTTTTGATGATAAAATATATGAGCAAATGAAAACCAAGACAACCTCTATCTACATAAATTGGAAAATGTTTCAATTCACCAGTCTTTTTAGGCATAAAAGGTAACAACTTAAAAACCAACGTGTGAATAAAAGTGTAAAATCCAAAAATTTATAGGGCTTTGATTTGGCATGTCCGTTTCTCGTGGGCGCCCCTCGCAATCCTGCCTCCAGGATCACGGTTGCAAAATAAATATATAGGTAATAAGAATGAAAATTTAATAATCAGTGGATGTCGTACCTTAGTTGTAACTGTGTCTCTAAGTGTAATATTCATGTATTGCTAAAGTTAAAGGCGCACGATGCTTCAAGAAGGGGCTTTGTGTTAATGGCCTAATTTAGATTGGAACAATTGATCCTTGAGGTTAGGCCTTCTAGTAAGAGGTAGAACCGGTTTGGTGCTATTTTGTTGGAGACAAGCATCGGCTGAAATCAAGTGCCAATGTTTAGTAAGGATGGAACCTATATTCATAGTTTTGATGTCGAATGGGACAACAAAAGGTAGAACTTGTGGTTTTGGTGGAGAGGGTTCTACGTTGAGGTAGTGCTGGCCCCCTGTCTTGGTGCCCTGAGGGGTGGTTTCATTGTTGGTGGGGTTTCCTGGGAAGAGGAGCTCGTTTTGGGTGACATATGTCAGTTGATTAAATTCGGTGGTGATACTCTGAGATTCATAACCTCTCATGATTAGGCTTTTTCGAAGTGTTTTGAGGTGTTTATGGAGTTCATTGTTGTCTATAATCAAACGTCTGAAGCGAAGTGCTTGGCTGTAAATAACACTTTTTTTACATGAGAGTGGGTGGAAGGATTTGGCATGTAAAAGGGTGCATACATTAGTAGGCTCAAAAAAAAGTGCTTTCCAAAAGTCCACCGTTATTATTAAGATAATTTAAGGTGTCAAGGAAATTGATTTTTTCTCTAGATTGTTGCGCTGCAAATTTGATCGTGCTGTGCACGCTATTGGTACGAACAAGGAATTTAGTGAGGGAAGCTTCATCATATTGCCATATCATGAAAATATCATCGATATATCGTTTTAAAGAGTAGAGATTTCTTCCCCTCGGGGGCTATGGAAAGGATGTTTTGTTCAATAACAGACATAAAAATGTTTGCAAAGTTTGGGGCAAAAGGGGTACCCATGGCATGTGTCTGTAAATATGGCTGTCCATTGAAGGAGAAATAATTTCCTTTTAGTACAAACTCAAACATTTGTTGTAGGTGTGTGGCTGGTAGAGGTAGTCCAGTGGCATAAAAATCAATTAACGCCATTATGTTATGTAAAATGCCCTCATCCTGTGGTATATTGGTAAAGAGGAATTTAACGTCCAGGGTACAAAGAATGATGCCTGGTGGAAAATTCTGTCTCTCTCTAAATTTAATTTGGAGAAAATGATTGGTGTAATTGACGTACGAGGGTAAAGTAGGATAAATTGGTTTTAAGAAATGGTCCAGAAATTTGGAGAGTTTCTTAGTGGGCAAGCCACACCCTGAGATTATTGGTCTGCCCGGTGTGAGGTTGCTAATCTTTGGTTTGTGTATTTTTGGTAAAAGATAGAATTCTGTGGTGCGGGGGTGGGGGCTTGGTTCAAGGAAATCATAGCATTGCTGTGTGAAATCATATAATCATCAATCATCATCAATCACGAATTTTTATGTGGGAGCTTATACGGAGGTGGGGGCTAATTCGAGGATTTACGGTATTTTGTTTCTCTTACAGTTTGCATGAAGCCACCGTACAAAGTCTCAGAAACTGGCTGGGGAGAATTCGAAATCATTATTAAGATTTATTTTGTTGATCCAACGGAGAGACCGGTTTGACATTTGCTACTGAAAATGTTTCAATATTTTTTAGCATGAAAGATATGTTTGAAAAAAAGTCCTATATTACGCTATTTGTTTATAAGATGTAGAGGAAAGAGGGTGAAGAAAGTTAAGTTAGATCTCAGCTAAAAAGCGTTTAGAAAACCAACTTCTCAACATTCTTACCTCTCTCTCAGGGGTGGGTGGCTCTTGTCTTGAGGGTACCCTCCCTGATTCTCTTCACCGTGTATTATCGCTGGAGCACTTAACGTCCAGATGTAGTATCAAGGACGGATACAGAAAAATTTGAGTAAGGTGCTGTAGCCGTCTTTGAAAATTGCTCTTAGAAAATTTATCTGACAGTGACAACATGCCTTTAGCGCGCCACAAAACTTTCTTCGTGCAATCCTGGAAAAGAAAAAAATAGGCATTACTTAGAAATGGTGTCGAGAACATAAAAGAACTCAAAATTTGGTTTTTAGCACTTGTTATCTTGTAAATAATGTTTTTTGTTTGGCTGTATAAATCCCAACTTTATGGCAACTGTATAAGGTTGGCAAAAATAGACGCCTATTCGAGTGAACTTTAGGCAAAGCAATTTGGTAAAATTGTTTGCTTATTCCATTTCATTTTACAATATCTATTCCGGACATGTTTCATTTATGTATATAATATGAAGCTGAAAACAAATTAAGATCTTGAAAAGCTGGAAGAACTAGCACAAGATATGAAGAAATGGAAAGAACTTGTTAACGGGATTTATACAGTCGTTAAAGCAGGGAAGAACTTAAGTAATTATGGTTTTCAATGTAAAATAGATTTTATATAAATGAGATGTATTTCAAACAAAAATGTTGAAACAAAAATGAAACTGAAACACAAAATTAAAAGAGAAACAGAATAAAATGACTATTTTACAACATGGTATGGTATATAAAATGAAATTTAAGAAAAAGAAAAGAAAATGGAATTGAAGCTTCATATTCGCCAGAAGCTGTTTTTGAAAATTTTCACGGATGATGCCAATTTGGCCTTCCTTTCGAGACATTTCTTTAAGCTGTGGAAAGCATTCAGCTCCTCGGGGCTTTGTCAGATTGTATTAGATCTTTTTAAGATCTTTGTACACTTGAAATTGTGCAGTGCTTCAGTCCCCCTATTTCAGCTTCATCAAAAATTACAATCTTTTCTTACGTATTCTCTTCCTTGTGATCCCTGGATTTTGATTCCATGTTTTATGTGGCTTACAAAAGTAGAATAAAACAAACGATGGTCATGTGAAAAACCTGAGAATGAAATACAATATAATAAATATAATAGAATAAAAACAGGAGAAAAGGAAACGTAAGAATGTAAAACATATAAATATTTGTATGGACGTAACCATAAACACAAATAGGTATACGGCACAAAACGTTACTTCTCTCTTTTTTCAATAAACATCGATTCGGCAAGGTTCCAGCCTAAACTCTTTCTGAATCTTTTATTATCATAGTATATCTCCAATTCTTAAGTCATTTGATGTCTGGGGTACGAATGATTGGCTAAAATTGGAAACTTATAACTTACTGACGCAATCGAAACTGAACTGGGTTATTATTCTTTAAATTGATTAAGAAATATAAACATTTCCAATATCGCGCACGTTTAAGTAATTTAGATAACGGAGGATGTGCTAGAAAGGCATTCCAAATGCTAATGGTCGATGCTGTTGCGGGGATTAACAACAGCTTCTTCTCTCTCTATTCTATTAAATCTAAGACTACTCGGCATTTTTAATCAACAATACTCAACAGTCTAATTATGCAGGAATCAGAAAAAAACTAAAACCTTTGTGCCTTAAAACAGGATATAAGTTTATCTTCTTATTATAAAAGTATATTATATACGAAGCAACTTTGGAAAAATACATGCCAGTGCATAGAATTCACAAATAGAAATTGGAAGGTATACAAGACACCCTAAGATCTGGAGGTCTTTGTGTTTTTTGCAAATCAAGCAGAATACATATAGCAGTGGATGAAATCATTTTTCTTTTAATGTGTCCAGCATTCTATCAGTATTTTCTAATCTCCTTTTGACTTATTGACTACATTAGATCTTTTAAATCAATTTGATGAGTTTTACAGATAAAAAAGTAGTTTGATCTAGAATAAATTAAGTGTAAAAATTGGATGCTTGGATATTTTGTCTTGAATTAGTTTCTAAAACAGCAAATAATATTTCATCTTAAAGCTATAGTAATACCTTTTTTGTTTGGTTAAATTTTAATGGTATTTTGGTACTTAAATTAAATCAGAACAAGGCAGAGCAGATCAGAGCAGCAGAGCAGAGAAGATGTATAAAAAAATATAGACATTTTTTGGTTGGTGATGTTAGGGGAAGGCATAGGAGCCGATAACAAAACCCTAACAAAGGAAACTAATATGGGAGGGGTTTGGAAGATAAGATAAGGAGAGAATAAAGATGGGTTATAAGAGCCTGGGAAGCAAAAAGAGGGTGAAGCATTTAAAAGTTTACAAGATTACACAATCTGAAGAGGAAGGGACAGAGTTCTTGAATTTAGCAAAGAGACTTGGACAGGGTGAGCAATACACTGGGAAAAAACAGCCAGGAAATCTCACAGGTTAGGTATTTTTAGTTAATTTTGCATTGTTGTCACATAAATTACAGAGATAAACTAAATCAAACTGCTCAAAATTTTTAAAAAATGGCTGACTGGGCATTCTTTTACTCTGAATTATGTTAATGTTTATGAAATTTAATTTTTTTCAAGCAAGATGAATTTTGACTACCTGTCTCTGAAGCTACAGTGTATTTCTATGATTGACCGGTGTTGAATTTTGACACATTATTTCAATAAATTACAACATCAAAGTTCAAAGTCTAGATGGAATTCCTAATTTTTATGAAGCCAGAGTCCATGCTCTGTTTGCTGATCCATTTAATCAAAATGCATGGCTTGAACCCTTCCCATTTTAACATTCTAGGGAAAACCTTTGGTGCCAAAGATATAGTATTAAAAACCAGCAGAGTAAAACAAACTCTGCCATTCCTGGTGCAATTCAAATGTTAAAATTGGATTATTGGATTATTTTGGCAAGTGAGGTTTTGAATAAAAATGTATAGATTGAGAAGAAAAAGAAGATATTAGCAGTTTTGATCAATTTTAGTGATGAAAAGGCCAAGGGATTGAGAAACCAACAGACACATCAAAAGGAATGTAGAAATTATACATTTGTTAGCTAAGCACCTTAAGAGTAGGTTTGGTGGTTGGGTCAAATTTTCTTGGTTGTTGTATGACCAGATAATTTCCATACTGCAAGAATTCCTATCATAGCCTTTTCCAAGGGAAATAAGCTGTGAGGGCAAACCTTTGTTTATATTAAGAGGAGGACTGGGGCTGCAGGGAGCAATTGTCTCCCACCCCTACTTAGAATGTTAAAAGGACCTGATTCCTATACTTCTTTGTAGAGTTTATTCAAAAAAATGTTAGAATTTAATCTTTGGAGCAGGTTTACCTGCAGAAAGGCTTTGGATTATAGGTAACATAACAGAAAAAAATGGTCATCTGGATCGATATGGATGAGGCCTAAAATAATATATAATTTTTAATGAACTTTTGAATAACAATAAAGCAACATTGTTTGTTTTTCTGCCAAAGAACATAGGAGAATTTTTGAGGCTCTCTGTGAAATCCCTGGCATTGTGTATATAGACTGGTTACCAAATATTATCTAAAAAAGCCTTGCATGTTTTGAATGAGAAGAGGGGACCATAGAAACTATAAATAGAATCAATAGAACTACTTTTGTTGGACAATGGGTATCACGCATTTAGGAATATGAACTTGACAGGTATCCTTCTATACAAACGTTTGCACAGCGGCCTCATTCTACCTCCGCGTTGCAGCGCGATGGGCGTTGAAACACTGCCATTTGAAATAGAAAAAAATGTTTGGAGCTACAACTCCGTTTCATCTTGCTCAGATAAGGGATTTGCAAAACGATGAACAAAGAAAGAAAAAATTGTTATTGATAACAAACAAACCGAAGTGATCTGTTCGAGTTCTAGAACTGCACATGCTTCCCGCAAATACGTTGGGTGACTGTATTTGTTTCCAGGCCAGGTGTCAAAATGGCAGCTGCAAGGAGGAGGAAAGGAAGCGGAAGTAAAAATACCTCAATCGTATCGAGTTCCAAGGACGACGTTGTTGTGGCAGAAGATGAGCTGAGCGCCATTAATGCAATGGCTTACCATATACACAGTCGCAGCAGTATTTGCAAAAGAACGACAATAATCATAATTTGCTCAGTATGTTTTGGTCTGGCGTTAACATTCGGTATCCTATATGGGTTTGCTGCTACTTCGATGTCAACCGGCCTAAGCGCCAGCCAGCTAAGCGGAGGTAACGTACAATGCCTACCAAAAGTTCTGGAACACTGACATCAATTTCCAAGGTCAAAATAAATCATCCCCTCTCCCCTACAGAACAATGTTGGTTTACTATCAAACGGGTTAGGATTTTAGGAAGCACTTTCTTTTGCGTTTCTTTTATGATATTTCTCTAAATCATCAACATTGTTTTAGGGGGAAGGGGCGGAAGTAGTAATTTTTTTTCATGAAAGGAATGAAAGATATCAAATGCAGCGTAAATTACTGGGTGTTCCAAGTACTTTTGGCAGGCATTGTTAAACTTGCAGGATAAAGTAAGGTTATAACGAGATATGCTTAATTATCATGGCTAATTGATTACTCAGGGCCTTTGAAGCATGCTAACAACAATCCCGGACAAAATTATTGAGACAAAGTGCAATTTCTGCAATTTTCTACTTTATGTCGCCCCTATTAATTCGAATCCCCCCTTTTCCCCCGAATCAATGTTGGATTTGTAGTTCTATATCATTTCTCCTTCAAAATCATGCATTCATCTTTGAATTTAGGGAGGGAGAAGTTATTTTTTAAAGGAAAGTGAAAATATAAACTTTCCTTGAAAAGTCTCAACGATTTTTGTCCGGGATTGTAGGGGGCGATTGCCCCAGCAACCCTGATTATCTTCTTTTGTTAAAGACAATAGATCTTTCCACGAATAAGGTTTCTCTGCGGTTGTCCCCCCGTAACGTCAATTTGTTCTCGTAAAATCAGGCACAGTCTTTCACAAGCACTGTCCTCGCAAACATATCAAATAATTATCAATAGTCCAAATCATCACACGCGATCCATAAATAACAATACGTATCCTACAAAAATCATAGTTCATGTCGACAAGATCTTTTACAAGCATCTTGCCACATTAATAAATCGTTGAGAAACTAAACTTACATAACATCAAATCTTAACCTTATCGCTCTTAACCATAACTCCAATTAACTCTGTAAAATAACACGCCCGAAATATAACGTAAACAGGAACTTATTGAAATACTACATAGTTAGGTATTTACATAATAATAGTGAATACTAAAGATATTCTCCCAAAACTAATTAGATAAATCGAAAAATGATACTAAAATCCAAAAAGAATAACTAATGAATCTAAAGGTGCAATTGGAAACAAGAGGAATAAAAAACAATCGAATGTGCGAAAATTGACGCGAATTTTCAATGCCAGCAAAACATTTTTTTCCAAAAAACATTCAAAATAAGCACAGGAGAAAACAAAAAGTGGCAAAAATGTTTAAGTTGGATGAGCCTTTTGCTTTGGAAGGAAGTAACAACAAATCGTATAGATGAAATTTACACAAATGTTAAGGGCCATGTTGCCGCTCGCAGTGGTTGAAAAGAATAGAAAAAGGTGGAAGAGAGCAGGAACAATCTGCCCGGACTGCAAATTTACATCTAGGCTCTGAGCCAAAATCGAGTTACAATACTTGTTTACCTCTTAGCCACACGATGCTTTTGATGAAATAAAGTCAAGACAAGGCGAAGTGGGGGCTGATTTTAAAAAAGTTAGAAATGTAAAAGTTGTAGAGGAGACATTGTTTCACAGGGAAGAAAATGAAAATCATGAGAAAGTTTGAGATTTTCATGTCAGTGCAGATTCTTCGGATGGTAAAATGAGGTCAGCAAGACAGCGAATAAGGCAACCTGTAAACGTATTTCTTTCCGTCCTTTTAGTATGCACAAATTCTGTGATAGCCAGTTCAAATGAAATTTTCTACTTTAGGCAGAGCACGTAATTCAGAATGAATTCAAATTTGTGTAGTTAAATGGTGGTTGGTAGCTTTTTTAATCAATGTAAGCAAAAGTACTAGAAGTACAACCTTCTTCATATTTCGTTCCATTGTGTGGCGATAACGATCACGTGACATTTGAAGAGTTTCAAAGGTGCTTAGAGGGTTAGGGTAATGGTCCTGTCTGTTGGAGCTATTTCAGATTCAAATAAAACTGGATTCAGGCAGCAGCTATGAGCTTTGCTGAATTTGTTACCCACAATTCGTATTACATGTTAACGATTCAACATATTATATGTACAACATATTAACCAATATCCTCTCATTTTTATACTCTTGTGTCCTATCTCTGAAAATAAAAGAAGAAAGAAACAGAACAAAATTTTCTGAAATATTCATAAGTCATTATTGCAAAGAATAGGTTTCATTATTTACATGGAACTGTTAAATAACAATTTTTTGTTTTATCTGGCTTTGTTTTGTTTTATTAATCAACCACAGGTCTTACATCATTTCGCGTCTTAGAAGTTAGCCAAGCCCCCAATGAAGTGTCCATAAACTTGGTTATGCCTCAAAAAACATAATCATATTATTAAATATTTGCGAAGGTATGGCATTGTTGCATGGCAACACAAATGTAGCTATCTTTCTATTGTTCTGTCATCTCAGTGCAGGCCTAATCAAGACCTTTTTCATTTTGTAGGTGATTTGACAAAGGTATGCTGCAGAGGACGTCAAAAGTAAGATTGCAAATTGTTTAAATATCTAATATTTGTTCGTGGGTTGAAATTTTCGGCTTGTGGCTAAAAGAAATATGTTTTATCCCGTTAGTTAATAGGACCGCGTATCAATATTCAATTCGTGCGCCTGATTTCTAGGGGTATTACACCATTAAATATTTTTTAAAATAAAGGAGAAAATTTTATCAAAAACAAATTCGTAGACATTTTAAACAACATTGTCTAGTGAAAACTATTTTTCTGTTGTTACATCGTCCCTTTGTATCTATAAGCTAAGTTCTTTGCCATGAAGCTGTTTCAGTTAGAATAAGAATAGGAAAAATCACCAAGACTCGTTACATGATTTTACCAGTGTGGGGTGATTATACCTGGTGAAAATATTACTAGCGCGATGTTAAGTCTTCTTTAATTGCATAAAACAGATTTTTTATTTGCCCCTGTTCTCCCCGTACATCACATAACCCAATCCTTAATTGTATCCATTTTCCAAGAAAAAACATCTACCTAAACCACCATTGATCTAGAATAATTTGTATCGTCTCTTCAAACAGTTTTCTTTGCGTTGAGAGATCTCATAGCAAATTTTTCTAACGATGACAACCTTCCCATCCTCGCCCTTGCTTACTTCCACGTTCGTATACATGCATTCACAGGTCCCTTTTTTTCAATAAAATGGGCAAAGTTTATTTTCTTATACCCTGAGTCCGAGTAATTAAGGTTAAAAAGAACTGTGCTCAATACGATCTGTTCAACTTATGCATTTTACCACAATCTTGTGTTTTTCTTTCTATCTTTTAATAAATTGATGCCTCTGCTCCTAATATTAATCTGCATTAAATAACACTGCATTTTGTTTAAGATCAGCCATAGTACATTTCCTTTCAGAACTTTTTCGCCATGGTCCTATTCCTGTGAGAATAATCAGTGTGTCAAGAGACCTGGACTTCCGCAAACAAGAAGCCAATTGCTCAGTTCGTGCAAACTAACTTGCGGTAATTCCGGTGGGATTTGGCCCAAACCCCGTGGCACGACCCGCATTGCAAACACAACGGTGCCCATTATACCAAGCAAAATCAAACTGAACCAAGTAACTTGCACTGGTGGCAGCTGTGGGAGCGATGTCACGACGATGGTTAAACAGGCATTTTCTCTCTTTTTCAATTTAACAGTCGACTCGTGCTCTACCCCAGCCACCGAAGTTGATGTGTCGATATGTCAGAAAGAGCCACAAACAAACAGCGTTGAAATAAAAATCACTCTCAAAGCTCAGGACATTAAGCTCACACTTTCCACTTCAGAGGCTTATAACCTTACTATCAATACTTCTGGGGGGCTTGTCACTGTTAATATCGCTGCTGACACTTTTTACGGCGCCCGCCACGCTTTAGAGACAGTGAGTCAGCTGATCAGTTACGATATGCTAAGCGATTCACTTCAAATTGTTTCCAGTGTCGATATCAAAGACAGTCCTGCCTTTCCATATAGAGGAGTTATGCTGGACACGAGTCGAAACTTTTTCTCTGTCAAAAGCATTCTCAAATTATTAGATGCCATGTCGTACAATAAGCTGAACACTTTCCACTGGCATATAACTGACACGCACAGTTTTCCTATTGTTATTGAAAAGCTTCCAAACATGTCGTATTACGGTGCATATTCAGAGCGTGAAAGGTACACTGTAGAAGATGTTAAAAAGATAGTCAGTCACGCAGCAGTGCGCGGGATACGTGTTGTACCCGAGTTCGATCAGCCCGCGCACGCTGGTAACGGCTGGCAATGGGGGGAGGATGCTGGTTTTGGAAAGATGGCATTTTGCGTTAACCAACGGCCATGGACGTCATATTGCGTGGAACCCCCGTGTGGCCAGCTAAACCCCCTTAACGACAAACTTTATGACGTCCTTGGTACAATTTATGATGATTATATCCAGAGGTTCAAACCAGATATTTTTCACTTTGGAGGCGATGAGGTAAATGTTAATTGCTGGAATACGTCGAAAGAAATAGTGGACTGGATGCAAAAGCAGGGGAAAAATAGAACTGAGAAGGACTTCTTAGATTTGTGGAACAATTTTTTGGTGAAAGCGACAAATGCATTCAACTCAAAGACGAAGGAAGAAATACCGTTGGTTGTCTGGTCAAGCAAAATGACCGAGGAAGCACACCTGACAAAGTACTTGAACAACCGCACATACATTGTACACTTGTGGAACGTTGCCACTGACAAATCGATACCAAATATCCTGAATAATGGCTTCAGAGTAATATTAAGCAACTATGACCACACCTATCTGGACTGTGGGTTTGGTTCATGGGTTGCTAATGGCAACAACTGGTGCTCGCCCTACAAGCAGTGGCAGCTCCAATATAATCTGAATCCAAAAGCGTTTGTGGCCTATTTCAATTTGACGCAAGAAAAAGTAAACCTTATCTTAGGTGGGGAGACAAACATGTGGTCAGAACAGGTATTATGATGTATTTCTGTCCATTATATTTTATCCTTCATTATTATTTCATATGTTCCTACACAAATCATTGCTGCTCCTTATATAAGATAGAAAAAGAATGATTTTGGACGCCCTTAAAATTGCTGCAATGCAAGATAATAGTTGTCCCATTAATTATGTTTTCGGTTGGTATAGCATTGTTTTGATGTAAAGAACAGAACGGCTCTAAGTTGCCACTCCGAATTTCACGCTTAATGCGATTATCGGGCAACATTGTATTTAGTGTAGGTAATAGCACAATACAAATGGGGTATTAAAACTGTGCCATTGTCATGAACTGAATAAAGACACACTGTCACACAAAAACGTTGCAGTATTTGCTGCTAAGTTTACCTTGGATTGTGCTTTTGTTCATTGTGAACTCGTCCTGCAACTAGAAACCGTCACCATCACGTGTCATGAATCGTCACATTTGTTTGTCTGTTAACTTCAGGTTGACGAAAATTCATTGGAAATGAAGGTTTGGCCTCGATCAGCGGCCCTTGCGGAGCGAATGTGGACCAACCCAACAGAGGACTGGAGAGCTGCGGAGCAACGATTGATGCATCATAGGCAACTTCTTGTCGACAGAGGAATCCAAGCGGATGCTCTGAAGCCATTGTGGTGCTACCAGAACTCAGGCAGATGCATTGCATAAAGCAGGGCCTAAAATCAATCGGACAGTGTTTAGATCTGTTATATTGTTTGATGAAAGCATCGAGAACAGAGCAAAGTTTTGTGGGAAAATCATTTGTAGTACGAGGGCAATGGTAACACTTAAGTTTTGGAAAATATTTGGAAAAAGGTGAGTTAAAAGACACCTCACTACTGAGAAAAAACCTTTCCATTTTCAATAGCATTTTTGTAAAGCCGTTTTTTCTTTTAATACTTGTTTTCATCCAGAAAAAAGCTTCTGTTAACAAAACTAATTCATTTACAACGATTTAAGAGATTTCTAGAACAATTTTGCTCTGTTTTCACAAATTAGTTATATATCTTCCTGATAGAGTATCTATATTTTTCGACACTTTTCAAATGACGAAATTCCCTCTTGTTTGGTCTGGCACCGAACTGGGCATCATTAAAACATTTTGTTCATTCACATTTTATATTTACAAAGAGGAACTCTAGCCATTGTAAATAGATTTTGTTCACATATAGCGTGTATTGAAGCAATGCTTATGTCGTTTGTTGAAATTACTGTTGCTTAAGTAGACATTTAGCTTTGTAAGTCAGAGTCCATCAGAATGGCCTAAAGTTGATTTGAAATTCTCTCCTCTCTCTTTAACCTCTCTTACTTTAATATCAGCTTAAAAATATATTTCAGTTTTTCCATGCCTGTTTCGACAATTCTTACGTCTTTTGGGAGATCGTTGTGTATTCTAACTCTTTGCATCCACGTAACTTTTTGTCTGCAACAGCCAATTTAAGCCTTTGCAATCTCTTTTTAGTTGAGACTTTTTAACCTCCAATGGGATCCAAATATCTTTTAAAATTATTAGAATATATTTCCTAGAGGGCAGTCATGGTCCAACGCCCAGTTCGTGGTTCGGTTTGATTATGTCGCACTAAGCAGTGGAAGGTAGAAGGGAAGTGATTTGACTATTATGATTTTTTCAAGAGGGGGTTGATTATACAATACGCTTCATAGAGGGTAAAGACAGAGTTATTAACCACAAAAATTCAAAAGCCCAGCAGACGGAGGGGTCCCTTTCTGTGCTGTACCAGAATCTGCAGAGACACAAGTTTAGGCTCGTACAGCTCGACTTAGAAAGAACAGTAATCCCCCTTTGTGGTCTGGAAAAGTAATTACTCATGATTCGAGAGAGGGATGATATAACGAATCACATGATATTAGATGTGTTCGTTCCGGCTCTATGGGTATCCAAGCAAAGCAAAGACTGTTTATCTTGTTTCTCTTCTTGCTGAACCTAAACGCAACTGAACAAGGAAGAAGAATCCGTTTTGCACACATTCAGTATTTAGGCTTGGCCTTTTGTGAATTTTGCGTAAGTTTGCTTTTTGTTTTTTCCCTGTGTGCATGTTTTGTTAGGTGACTCCGCAAGGATATTTTCAGGTGATAGAATATTGCGTTCCTTGGAGTACACACCTATTATTCAACGAGCAAGCTCCTGAGAGCAGCTGATTTTCTCGACTGACCAAATACCATATTCAAATTGAAAAATTCTACAATATGTAACAACAAGTTCACTCGTACATATATTTCTTCACTCGTATATAAAGCTGCGCAGTACCAAAACCAACACCAGTTTTTCCTTTCTCTATTTTCAGAATGAATTCGTCTCATGCATACGTTTTTCAAGCTTCATAATTACATTTGTGAGTATTGTGGTCAAGGTTGCAGCATCCTTATCAGCACAGTAAATAAACGTACCATCAGCACATTTGACAACGTTTGACTCAATAACATCAGTTATATAACGAAAGAATATGACGAAGTGCAAAGGAGCAAGGATTGAGCCCTGAGGGACATCATACTTTATTTTGACCTCCAGATAGTAAGTTGTTGTGGTTCACCTGTGCAAAGTAATTAAACAAGGAATCTTCAAACCAGGTAAGTTCTCTGCCGTCAATTATAGGAGCTTCGTCATCAATTTAGAATGGCTAATGGTGTCAGGTCTTGCATGGTCCACAAACACAGCCCAGATCATCTAACAGCAGCTTTGCAGTTTGCAGCAGTTTGGTCGTCATTATCAACAGAAGCTACTTTCGCCCAGCAACTTGAAAAATTAAAACTACGATGACAGCTATGTAATTTGGAGACAATTTTGTTGAATTCCCTAGCAGCATTCAATTAATCATTCAAAAAGAAATTTGAGTTTTGATCATCTCAATTTTATGCAAGTCGAATCATCTTAGAATCTCAACAGTTTGAGCGTTTTTTAATTCTAAACTAAACCAAAATTTTCTAATTTATTGACAACAAGAGAGTTAGAAACCCATCATTTTGAATTAAGAAACGCAAGGAATTATATATTTGGCATGCTGAATGACTGCTTTCTGCAAAACAGAAGGCTGTGGCACTTTTGTGTCGTGAATATGGGTGTACCCTTAAGCCATTTTTTCTCAAGGCTCTTCTAGCTCTGGCACAACTGGACTCAACAGTGACCTAAAAAATTCGAAGGAAATGCCATAAATTACACTTAAAAATCTCACGGGTAGCTGGCACGTCTAGATATAAATTTCTTTGGCTAAATTTCATGGGAATATTCCCATCAATAAATCTTGAAAGAAAGAACAAAACAAACAGAAAGAGGAAGGATTTGATGGGCCTTTCCACACTAAGATCGAGAAAAGATTGCTTTGATGCGCATTCAAAGGTATACCACATGCAAGTGAAAAGTTTAAGCTGTGAAGTCAAGCCGAAAACCGCTGAGTAAGACCTCCATTTTCTGTTTTATTCCTGCTAAATAAAAGGTAGACAAAACCCAATATGCATAAAACACAGGACAACAAAACCTAAACCATGGAGCGAATCTTTTTCTTCGGTGCAGTTCATTTTATCTCAACGCTTTACAAAACGATCCTTAGATAGAATCAACCAGAATATATCAGAAACCACTCCTTTTCTTGATAATAAATAAGATTTGAAAAATGGATAATCTTAAAAGAAACAGCTTCCGGAAAGCTTCGGGAAACTCATGACAATGGTTTAAATATACTGACCAACAAACGTTTTCTTCCGCCGTTTTTTAAGTGTTCCATTCAGCCTCGTATGACTTTAAGGACCTCGGGTGGGTCATGGTAACTGTTGTTTCTCTATTGTATCTGAATTATATTTGTTAGCTCAATGACTAGCTACAGTAGAATTCGAATTCATTTACTTTTCACAATCATTCCTTCTCAACTAGCTCCTAACGTCCCCAAGGTTTCAATAATTTATCTAACTAGAAAACAAACCAGTTGGAAAAATACCGTTCGGTTTATCTGATAGCTCCAAGTTTAGCAAAGGCAGTTTTTAGAGTAGCCAAGCTGTGCAAAAAGTGCAGAAACCACTTAAGTTGCACAAAGCGATTCGGCGTCATGTTCAACCGTAGATATTTAGGCCAGTGGAAACATCTGGTAACAAAATTTGCAAGCATTCTTCGCTTCTCGATGGTTCTCGGTAAATAATGAAACATAACTGAAGATGTGAGAAGTGAGAGGTGAACCAATGTTACAACGATGCCACTGTTACTTTCCTGTCCTGCAGATTTCACCATGGCCTAATCTCCTTTTCCTTCCAAGATTAAAAGGAATCGTGCTGTAATGCAGGTGACGTTAGAAGTCTTAAATGCATCATCTCTGATATTTGAAAAACATATCTCTAATTGATTTCCATCCTATTTCATTTTCGCAATAATTTGTCAGGAGGGGCTTCCTGGGTGCCAATTAACTTATCTTGGCTATCAACCTATACGATTTTTCACTTTTTATAGATGTCATCCGATCTCGCAATATTTTGAAAGAAATATTGGCGCAGCATTTAACTTCCAGTCGCTCAAAGTATAAGACTGACCTCAATTTGTATACGTAAGTCCCATGATTACCCAAGGATCATGAGCCTAATATCGAGTCCATACAGTATTACTAGGCTTGGATGATAGTAAGCAACACCCCCTCTCCCCTTCAAAAGAGACTATAGCTTGCCTTCAGTTAGTGGAGGGCACCTTTGAACAAAGCAGAGAACCTCAGAGAGACACTTAACAGGAAATGCCAGAGAAGTCCATTAGGCTTAAGTTTCAAGATTGTCTTTACTAAAGATTACATGCATATAAAAAAGGTGATCAATTGCCCTGATTGACAAGTCTACCTAAAACATTGTCTCTTGCCTATTTATAATACAACAAGCAAAATAATTCTTGCAACAATAAATGATATAAACTACCGACAATTATACCAATTACAACAAGTTTCCTACAGAGTTCCTTTTTTCTAAAAATGTTTGGCTAACACGTTAAATCTCTTAAAAACACCCTTGTTCTTCGTTAGATGATCGGAAAACTCGGTAGCTGGACGGTAAAACACCCTTAGGGTTGGCAAAATAGGACCAAAATCAACTAAATCTATATCATATTTCAAAAATGATACTTTCATGATGCTACAATTTCCAAACTTTTCAAAATCTTCAAACTCAAATCTAAAAGGAGGTTTAATCGGAGGAATAACCTTTATCAATGCTGGGCTAAGGCACTACATTATTAGAACTTTAATAACTTGGCACGCTAAAAGACTTGCTGTATGATATTTTGCTTTATAATTCTACGTATCCAGTTAGAGGGAAATTCGTGCAATCGTGCTATCTATCTTTTGAGTTAGCAAGTTCTTTCTCTTGGTAAAAATCCTGGTATTGTGAGTATTGTAGTCTTTGAGCCCTAAGGACAGACTCGTACTTTTTTTCAACATGGCTTATGGATATTGCAGTAAGGTACACACCTTCAACAGCCCCCATCTCTATTGGAAGGACACTACATCGAGAACCAGTGTCTTACATCATTAGGCGGTAAGATAGCTCAGTGCTTAGGGTCGCGGACTGAAGACCCGAGGGTCTGGAGCTCGAGTTCCTGACGTAGCCAAACTCGCCCCCAGAGTGAGAGAAGTGGCCAGTTCTTTGCAATTTCAGGCGTAGGAATCACGAGGGCAGGGTACATCGAGAGAAGAGACCAGGACACTTCTCGATAATCAGAGCTTTTTAGTTCCCCAAAAACTATCCTCCGATGCTAGGTAGAGACAAAAAATTCGTACGTTGTAAAGGCTGCAATTTTGATACACAGCTTCAAGTTTTTTATGCAACACAAGAGCTAGAGATAAGTAACGAAAACTTTTTAGCACTTGAAATTCTGCTAATTAATTAAAGTATGAATAGTTTTAAAGTATGAAAGTATGAAGAGTTACAACTTGAAAAAATATCATAGAGGTACATTTAGACGTTTTGAGGGCTTTGAGTGTCAAGCGTCTTTTATAGACTTCTCCTTTAAAGACAAAATCATTTCATACGCTGGGTCCCAGTGGGTCCTTTTTTGAAAACTTACAATCTGGCCTGGGGCCCTTCCAGCTACAGCCACATAACTTCAGCGGGACTGTTCAAACACCACGACCGACGATTTAGCAGAACTGTTGAGTCCGAAGCCCGTGGCAGCAAGCGAACTGAAAAGATGTGATGGAATTTTGTCAGGTGTGACGGAGTGGAGAATCAGATTTAGAAGGGACATATCATTGTCATTGCAATGATGTGACCAGGCCAGACACTTTTTCAAAGACG